TGGTTGCTTCAAAAAAATTTTCAGACTCATTATTACTCGTAAGACACCCTGAATAAAGTATTTATAAAAGAACGTTGTGAAGAAGGTTGAGAAAGTTTGTTTAAAGCATGTCTTACCAAAAAAGTCAAAACATTTACCAGTAAATGATGTAAATGATTAAGATTCTTATCATCAAGTAAGCGTCAAATTTAAATTTAGTTTGGCAACCTTGACCTTCAAATTCAAACAACAAACTTTTCTAGACAATTATCATTCAATAGCGACGGGCGAACGTTGGCTCAGTCGTCCCAAAAACGTTGTGATATAGCACATTAAAGAAAAGGATTACCAATATTTTAATTTTACCAATAGATGTTTTCTTAAATACAGGGTGATTAAAAATGCCGCACTAAAACTATGGTACGCTGTCTAGAAGAAAGGTGAGTGAGGAAAAAATATTTAAAAAATTCTTGATGTTTAAATTGCACGTGGAAGAAGGTTAATTTTATGGTAAATTTGGCAACTGCGTGTACCTACGCTACCTCGAGAATATCAAAAGAGTTGCCATGGAATAATTCAATTCTTAAATTTATTGTTACCTTTAAACGTTGCCGCATCGATTTTTGCATAATTAGCGATAATTTAGAAGAGGTAAATCGCATTGAATGTTAAAGACCACAGACATTGTGTTGAAGATTATTAATCTACCTTTCATTCTGCATGTTTAAATTGCATCTTGAGTGTTCTTACACAAAACCCCCACTGTGCAGAAAAATAAAAACCAAGAATTTTTTAAATATTATTTCCCTCACTCACCAAATACTTCTAGATATCGTACCATAGTTTTAGTGAGACATTTTTTAAACACCCTGTATTTAATTTAAATTAATATTAAGTAGGGATTTAAAAAACTGCTAATTTTGGCAGATTACTGATAGATTTTAATGTAGTATTTTTTTTTACACAATACACTTGAGCTTTGAGTAATTTACTCGTATATAAGTGTTAAAAATCAATGTAAAAGTAATATGCTATAGGTTTTGCTTCAATATTTACCTAATAAAAAGTAAATAAATAAACAAAAATAAATAATACCTGATATTATTTATTTTGATTTGTTCCTCTAATTTTTTCAGAATATGTGTATAAGTAAAAAACACATAATAAAACTGATGTACCATCTTTGCACAACAATAATTTAAAAAGTTAGAAAACTCGTCAGTCGTCAGCTTTAAAAAAGTGAAAAAATATAGTACACTTCACAGTTATAACAAACCCCGTTTATACCAAATCACTGTTTATAACGAAATTTCAAGTTTCTTTTTTTCTATAAACAACACATTAAAATTTTCGATTATAACATGTATAAAAAACTATAAGAAAAAACTGATCAGAAAAAAAACTTACCTTGACACATGGATAAATGAAGTAATCAAAGACATGCAAAATCGGTGAATTTTTTTAAATGAACACGTTAGCACTGTTAGTGTAGTTGTTATGCCAATATTCTAATACAAATAAATTACGGAATTCATAACTTTTTGTTTGAAAAAATTGTGGGTAAAGTAAGAAAAGGTAAGTTTAAAAATCAATAGTAGAAATTATTTATAACCCGAGTCAAATAATAAGTCTGAACTAGGTATTAATTATTATTATTTTTTCTGTGTAAAATAATGTGATTTTTTTTCCACAGCCATGTTAAGTACTGTATGCGACTCTTGACAATTTGAGACTGAAATATACATATTATGCATGCATAAACGATTTACAATGTATAAAATAAGCTTGTTCAGTTAATAACAACAGGATTCTTTAAGTAAGTAAAGTAAGCAATAAAGATGTTTAAAAACACACTTGTACTTTTTCTAAACTAACTGATTGGACAGTCCCTTAAGACTGAGTCCACTAGAAATTTAAAACCTTTATCTCATCATAGATTTTGAACAGTTTTTCGAAACAATTCTGTTAAAACTACACAAATAAAATAGAAAAGTAAAAGGATTACCCAATAAGCAGTATTTAAAATATGTTGTGGCTAGACAAATGTGCAATTATCCGCACAACTATCTTACCAATCTGGTGCAGAGTGCAACAACGCCTGCCTGAATCCCGTTGCCTAAACGAGCAAATGAAATCATGTAATTAAATTTATGAATATTCATGACGTTAGTTATGCTGCATTCATCTAACTTTTTAAAAGAGTTTGAAAAAACTTAGCTTATAAAAGATTTTTCCCTTAAATTTTAATAAAGCGACGCGCGAGATTTGCAGACATTGAATTAGATGGTATTGAAGCAGGGCCCAATTGCCGCTTATATTTTTTCAGCCAACAATTTTTAAACTAATTGTGTTGCGAGCGAATCTCAAACTGTCGAACCCTATCCTATCTCCATCCATCACAAATAAGCATCAACAACTAATGCAAACTCTGATATATGAGTTTGGAAACTTTTCATGAAATTTGTGTAGATTGTCAAGGTGGCAAAATTTAAATCTTGGAAAGATACATGCAAGAGAAACATTTTTAGAATCGCTGTGTAGGAGCTTTATGAAGCTGTGTTAAAAATGTGTTTGCGAGAACATAAAAGTTTTATAAATTCACTTTTAATTTTCTTATAACTGAGTTTGAGTATAATCAAGTTTGGCTTTTCAAGAAGTTTACAAGGAACGCTCATTCTTATTTGTGTTCATTTGTAACTGTGCATTTTTAAGAACGTATTCGTTAGCGCCATTGTTCTGAAGAAAAAACGCTTAAAAACGTTAATACAATAATATCGCAAACAAAAACTGCTGACCTATAAAATAATTTTAATACATGAAATATCGCCAAGAGCTCTCTTCAAGCATTGGCACCTAACATAAATTTCCATCAACGACAATTTTCAACATAACAATGTTAAGTTACAGATGGCCGAGTTCTAATCGCCTGCATGAAACAATTTAAGGAGAGGCGAAACAATTTCCCAACTCCCATGTTGTTTCACGAATGGTGGTGATCGAAATACGATCGTAAAGGGTGACAAAGCGTTAACCCCCAAGGCCAAAAAAAAAACCTCCGTTGACAATCTTATTTTAAAACAGTTTAAAAGTGTTCAAGTGTTTTCCATGTCCATGCAATGTTTGTAGGTACTAGTTCATTGATCGATTAAATGACCCTTATCATATAAATTAGCAATTGTGATGTCGGCAATAGGAAGCGACCGTATTTCCAGGTGGTAATATCACACCAATTTGCTCTATATGTCCTGTTTCAGTCTCAACTGATGCCTTTTAAGCAAGAGAGATCGAGGTAAAACGAATTTTATCCTCTCTGCACTGCACCAGTTATGATGAATATTGCAAATGATGAGAGAGAGGCCGGTCTGTATTTTCTGCCAATTTGCACTAATTTTGATGGCGTTGTGATGACGAGTTTTTCTATTTTTCCTCTGATGATTGTAATTTTTAACGGCTGAGAGCTCTCGACGCGACGACACTGTATTAGATTACTATTACTTCCGCACGACATTTTGCTTCAATTTAACAAAAGCTAAAACCATTTCGTACTTATTTTTATTAGATATTTGAATAACAATAATCAAAATCTGCCATAGGCAATATTATATGGTTGTTTTTTTAACATTTCTTCAAATTTTAAACAGTTTACTTGACTTCAAATGTGTGGGGTAATTTAAAAGAACCATAGCAACAGTCGAGAATTTTAAAACACTTTGTAGTTATTTTCAGAAATAAAACAAACATTTTGCACTAACTTTCTGTACCTAACAAGTTTTCGTTAAGAGAGAAATATTCTTCCCTACACGTAAACAAATAAATTTTAGTCAATTCCATAAGTTAAAATGACTTTTACAGTATTATTTGTATTGTAAAATTAAAACACTTCTCTCCTATTTCCCCTTATTACATATCTCTTTAAACTCAACAGAATATCTCATATTCATATTGTATTTGCATTTAGTATGATTATTGACAATAATAAAAATAAGTATTGTGAAACTGCATTTTCGATTCAGATGAGTTAGATCGCCGCCGGTCTACTTCTCCGGCATTGTGATAAAGCGATTGTAAACGGGACGCGCCTTTCAATATGCTTGAATGTACGCATTGGTTTACAAGTTAAATAAACCAAAAAATATCAAAACGGAAGAATACTGCAGAGAAACGTCGTTTTGCCACAGCCTCGAATTTCTCGACAAAACGAAATTCGTTCATGAATTCTTCTCAATGTCGAATTGAATCCTTCGAATATAGAAAAGATTATAATCCCTAATAACTTAAACAAATTATACTGTGGCATGGACGCATGGATAAATTACAAAGTGAGGATTAAATTTCAATAAATCTTTCGTTTGAGATTCAATTGATGTTATGCGTTTACATTTTCCGCACCCCAACTTCGAATAGATCCGAATAAACTATTATATAAAAGATACACAAATACCCTTTGCTCGTACGCGCAAAGACTTACAGCGAGACTCTTTAAGAACTACGTAACCATTCCAAAATTGATGCCAATTTTTTTCGGATAATTACAAAACGAAACTTGCGAGAAAAAACACCACTCGCAAAAACCAATAATAAGTTTGCTAGTCCCATTATGAGATGTTACAAGTGTTTGTAAACCAAATATAGCTTTGTAATGAAAAGAAAGCATCGTCTGAAAAGCGATAATTGAATTTGATGAATTGGACATTCTGGAGGACTTCAGTCAACAATGGACTCGCAATAGCCTTTGTAGAAAGCTACATAATTGTATTTAAACACAAAGCTATTTATCGGCATATTCAACCGATTGTGAAATGACAATACTTTTGTTATTCAAAATTATTACGAACAAATCATCACTAGGTCTTAAAATACGAAAATAGCACAAAATATTTGCGACAGCAGTAAGAGTGTCGGAAATAAAAACTCCAGCAAAATCAATATGTATTATAACCAAACAAAAAAAAATACTTCTTGGTCCTGGTTAGTGTATTCTGAGTTGCCTATGTTCCTAAACTATGTAATAAAAATTCGAAATGTTGGAACCACTTTATTTAACAAAACACCTAACAATTCTCTTGTAAATGATAGCTACGCTAGTGTTGCCCTGCTACCTGGTGTAAAGTCGCTGCTGCCGCCACCCTCAAAACGTTTATATCTGCAAAAGCCCAAAAATAATAGCTAACAAACCATCCAAAGCCCTCACATTTGCTCATATTTCAACTGCTCTGCTTTACTTAAAGAGGCCCTGGTATTTTTTAGAGCTTCCATTAACTGGACCTGATGAATCTCGTAGTAAAATTCTTGCATATTTCCCTACAATTACAAAATAAATGCATCATAAATTACTTCTTCTCGGCGAATTCCGCAAACAATACGAATCATAAAATCGTTAATTAGTCGCATTGAAACTAATTCAAAGTAACAAATTCGATATGGTTGCGAACAATACGGCAACGAGGCTAAGTGAAGGTAAAATTAACAATCAAAGCCCATTCAATTCAAACACAAATTAAATTAAACGAAATATAAGCATGTATTTAACAGCTGTTAATTGCGATTCCATATTGAAATTAAAACGGCCGTAACAAACGAACTCGAATCAAATATTGTAGTTAATTATGGAGAATGCGGACGCACTCGCAGGATTCGCTCTTTTAAGTGCGTATACTTGGAATATAGCGCTTTTGAATAACAATAAAGGGCGACACCACGTAGGATAATTGCTTTAATCATTACAGAACCCAACTACGCTTTCACACTCGAAACAATCAGCAAATATTACAAAAATTATGATTATTAAAAATAAAATTTTTGTTTGTCCTTTATTTAATTGCATTTTTGGAATATTAATTAAAAGTAGAGTTGTTTAAAATGCGTATATTTGTGAGGCGAGGTTCTTAAAACAAGGCAGGGGGGGCGCCACCTATTAGAGCAATAATTGCCTCAGTCATTAGCCGTCTTCATTAACGGAACACAGTTTTGAGCAATGGATGATGAATTTATTCGTTTCGAGTGTCTCAATCTATCGTTTATTGTAACAATGTTGCAGTAACAGCTATTGTTGATGATCGATTGATGACGGCATTTTTCCACGATACATCTTGAGAACGAATCAACGGAAGTGACGTCAATCAGGAAACGACTGTGCCGGCAGGCTCAATACTTGCTTCTCATTATAAAGCAATCAAGATACTACCTAGCGCTGTATAATCCGAATGATATTGTTATCGTGTAATGTGCCTAGAGTAGTTAGCGGCAAACCAAGACGCCTATCTCACTAACTTGTCTAATAAAGCCTAAGAAAATGGCTTAACGCGAAATTGCTTCACTCATACCTCGTCCTGCAAGAGGTCTTTGACGGAATCCAGTTGAGCGCTGTAGAGGACAGCCTGTAAATCGGCGCCGGAAAAACCCTCAGTGGCGCTGGCGATTTTTTCTAAATTCACATCGTTGGAGAAATTTAAAGACTTTGACAAAACTTTTAAAATTTCGAGTCTAGATTTCTACAACAAGTTGATACAAAAGAATTAAGCAGTTCTGAAATAAATACCTTGTCGGGAAGAGGGCAACGAATGTGAATGTCGAGACGGCCAGGTCGTAAAAGGGCCGGATCTAAAAGGTCAGGTCGGGAAGTTGCTGCTAAAACAAATACACCAGAAAGGGTCTCGATGCCATCGAGTTGAGTTAAAAGCTGATTTACAACACGATCCGTTACACCAGTGTTGTCGTGGCCTCTCCTAATTGGAAAAATTTAATACAAATATGTAATATCTGGGACAAATGCAAAATTTAAAGTAATACAAATTAAATTTTTTTTATTCAAACATTAAATTTAAATAATCGACTCCGAGATCGTAACATATTTCAAACTATGGCTTCGGAAAATAAACTCCATTTTCGTGATAACAACTTGTATAATAAGAGTTATAAGACATTCTCGGTTAGCCTGTATTAAGGTTGAACTATACTGGGAAGTACAGTTGAAGACAAAATACTTTGGTCGTCAATGTCACTTGGGTGACATTAAATTGTAAAGCATGCTTTAGGACTGTTAACCTTATTTTTAGCTACTATCAATCATAGTTGACAAGTTGTACATATTTTTGATAGAAAGATATAATAACTGTCATTAATTTGAAATTGTCATTCATTAAAGCTTGGATTACATTAAAGTGTCAGAAATGTGACGACCAAAGTATTTTGTCTCCAACTGTAATGTGGTTCTGGCATATTTTATTTGAATTTTTAACAAAATTGCTTTTTTTCCCGATTCAAAATATTGATAGTATGCATCTTATCTTTGCGAATGTAAAACCGTTTTGCCGTCTACATTTTTCACTAATATTAAGAATTTAATTTAACAATAGCATGTCAATCAGAGAGTGCGAAACTAAATTGAAAAAAAAAAGATTCATGGTATAAGCATTTTTGTCAATTTTTAAATAATCAATTTTGCTTTGTTTCTTTTAATTTCGATGGCTAAAAACAGAAAGATAAATAGATGGTAACGCCACAATGGCAGTTATATTATAATAAATTGAAACAAACAAAAAATATAGTACATAATATATCAAAAATTATTATTCCTTTCATTTGAGATTTTTGGAATTTTTAGTTTTTTTACAGTAAATTACAAAATTACAGTTTTCAAAAACTATTTACTCTACCGTTCCGTAGATGGCACGTCTACGTTCCAAAATGTACCACCTCAGACAGACCCCATGCTCAACGAAAAGGCGTTCAAAGTTTTCAAGCGAAAAAAAAATAATTTAAAAAAAAAAAAAAACAGTAAACAAATTAGTTTTTTCTTACAATTGGATGTTGTCCCTCAATTAAATCAGGACCTCACACACACATAGCACAAAGTTTTTATCTTATTTTAAGTATTTGTAACGGATTGCAAAATTCAATAGTTTTTATTTTTTTTATGAAAAAACATATAAATCAAATTGCATAAAAAAATACAGTAACATAAGTAGGTAATCTACACTACGCCAACAATAAATCAAAAAATTCAGTACAGTTTTTTATATGTATAATAAAATGGCCAAAAATAAAGGTTTTTTAAAATTTATTTTTAAACACGGACAAAAAATTTCAAATTAATATACAGATGTCCGGAAAGTCGCGCATTTGACATTTTTTTATATCTATTTAATGATACTGATGATCTTGTATATGTTTTTTTAAATAATTTAGTAAAGGCACAAAAAGTTTGCCAATAAAAGCCACAAATAACATTAAACAGTTACAGCTTCTTTGTTTCTTCTTCTAATAGCCTGTAGCAAAAAAAAATGGAAAAACTATTTTTCTGACAGAAATAAATAGCGACAAAGTGCAACTTTGACTTAACTTCGAAATTTTTATATATAGATTTTCTTTACATTTTTCTTCTTGTCTATGACACCGCCCGATGATACAGTGTCACGGAGGTGCGCGACTTTCCGGATATTGCTGCTAAAGCCATCAAAAAGTTATTATTTTTTTTCGGAATTTTTGATTTACGATTTATTTTTATATTCATCATAGTTCAACCTCAATAAATTAAAATTTTAATTTTAATTATCGGTAGAACTATAAACACAAAACCAAAATTCAAAAAGAAAATACAAAAAAAAATTGTTCAACATTTAAGTAAACAAAATATTTTAGCGCTACTCTATCATTATTAGGTACTATAATTTCTGTTGAAATATTTTTTACAAAATCTTGCCGATGTAAATATTGTAAGCGCTAACTAAATGCAAATGACGTGTAACATCTTCCTCCATTTCTAGGATGTAAAGTTTTAAAAATTCGTATGAGACATTACCCTGTTATAGTTTTGACAAAAACTAGAATAAATATTTGATATTTTTCAATTTTTTTAAGAAAAAACCGAAAACTGCATCTGCTTCAAAAAAGTTGACAATATTATGTCAATTAAGCATTTGCTCTTAGACTTTCACACACTAACCTGGGAGCCAAGCTGTCGAACTCGTCGAAGAACAATATGCATGGTTTGGCGCTTTGTGCTCTAAAAACGAGACGAAATAAATCGCCAATTACACACTCACCTCATCCTCGTTCTCACCTTTGGAATACATCACGAACGGCTTGCTCACTGGCCCCGATATATTTCGATAAAAGTTCAGGTCCCTTTATGGAAATTAACCGAAGTCCGCAGTGTTTTGCAGCTGCTCCTGCCAATATAGTTTTACCTGTACCTGGAGGACCGTATAGGAGCAAACCGGATGGTAAACGGAGGGGTGCGTTTGAGAACACATTAGAAAACTAAAAAACTTATTTTTATTTCATTCCAAACTGTGATTTTGTTTTACTTTCGCCGGCCATAGCATAGTCTCAATTAAAAGTTTTTTGACATCGGCTAAACCCCCAATATCATCCAAATTTTTATCACCAGATGGAAGAAGATTAACGCCTGATAAAGACGTTTCGGTTACTGTTTCCAAAGCTACCTCACAATATTTTTCAGTAATTTTCATTGTGTCTTTATCAAAATCTACAATAAGTGATTAAGTATTGAATACCTGAACTGAACAAAATTACCGTTTTGATACAATTCAAATAAAGTTTTATTCACAAAATCAAAAATGTCCCGCATAACAAAACTTTCAGTTTTTTCAACCAATTTCTCTAAATCAACTTCATTATGATTATAATGTACAAAAAAAAATTCCAGCAATTTTTTCCTGTCATTCTAAAATCAAACAATAAATGAATTAATAAAATTAATATTTTAAACTCACTTTATTCAATTGATTAATAGCATAAACGTGTTTAAATAAGTGGTGGCCTCTCGTTGTATATATATTTTTATGTAATTTGGATGTTGATTCAACTGTTGCTAATAGAGCGACGGCATTATTTTCGCAAAAATTTTCAAAAATCGATTCCAACATTTCACTTACTCTAAACACAAAAATTAATCGCAAATTATATTTCTAAAGGTCCTACCTGTTATAATAAACCGTATTTTGAGAAAGAGCGTCTCCTTCGTTAACATTTTCACATAAAATTTCAAGATTATCCAAAATTAAAACAGATGGTTGATGGTGAATCAAATCGAAAAAAGTTGTCGATAATAATCTATGTAACGATTCAACGGTTTTTCCTTTGATTGATTTGCAATTAATTATTTTTGTATGAACGAAATAAGGAGAAGAATTTATTTTATGTGCAATAATTTTAGCCAAAGTGGTTTTACCAGTACCAGGTTTACCTACAACACAATTTAAATAAAAAAAAAAACAAAATAATGAAACAAGGCCACCTGTTATTAATATATTTTCCATTTTACAGAAACTTCTAGTTTTGTAAGTACACAAAAACAAATTACTGTCGATAATTTCCTTATAATTGGTCACATCCGTTGCATAATTATTAACACAAAAATCCTTTTTATCAAGAGTCTCTCTCTGAGGAATAGTTTCATTGATAAAAATTAACTTACAATTTCGAACTAAATCTTGTGTCACAACACAAAAGTTTGCCTGGCAAGGTTGAAATCGTATCAAACATCTCAAATTACTTCTAATTTCCCATATTACATCAGAATTTAAAACAAATTCATACGTTTTGCAATTATCGGCTAAATATTGCTGGAAATCTTGAATAACGTCGATTGAATAATCTCTTTTTGTGTAAATTTCTATTTCTTTTATTTCTGGTGAAGTATTTGTGTAGGGTTCTAAACGAACTCTTGCCCCAATTTCACAGTTCAAATGATTAAAGAGCGTATCACTGAGAAATAAATTTTCTGTGTACATTTTCTTTAATTTAAAATCGTCTAAAAAGTCGTCAAAAATGAGTAATCTAACATAAAGTGATTTCTCAACATCTTCGTTACTCAACAATTTTAATAAAAATAATCTAGAGTTTTTTATTGTGTCTTTTATTTTTTCTGAGACGCTGTCTCTAAATACAAAAACATTAAATGGAGAGTTTAAGTCACCCAATTGTGAAACTATTTCCTTAAAAGGTACTACGCGAAAAATAAAATTTCCTTCATTGTTATGACATTCAGACAAAAAATTAAATGTTTTGTCTATGTCTTTGAGTTCATTACTATTTTCTCTCCTGTTTGAAATTGAATTAAATTCTTTTTCTGGTACTTTTATTACGACTTCAGTCAAATTATCGATTTTCCCGGGGGAAACTGGTTTAATATCACCTAAAATCAATTGAATAAAGATTAAAATACACAAAGGTGCAAGTGACATACAGACAAATACAGTTACATGAATTGTTGTCCCAATCCAAATTACAAATTTCTGTCCATTTGAAAGAACGCGAATTTGCTCAAGCAAAGTGGACTGAACATTTTCAGCTAACGATTCCTAAAGTTACATTATTAATGAATGAATTTCGAAAAGATGAAGCAATTACCAAAACTAAATGATCATTAGAATCAACGGCTGTTATTGTAACACTCTGAATTGTTGGAGGTTTTGAAATTTCAGACACAGCAACCAACGAACTGTCCTCAAGGCCCAAAGCTTTCCCATACAATGAATTAATGCCAAGACTTTGGTCATCAACTGATCCTGACAAAGGGTCAACAGACACGTGGATGGTCTCATTATCATTATATGACAATTTGAGAACATTCTTCAAAAAAATTGTGACAAACTTAAGCTAGTGGAGACAAGGCAATACTCACATTTTGTAAACGTTTAAAATTATTAACAGACAAGGCACAGAAACAGTTTTTGGAGGTTATGTACCTGACAGTCAGTAATCCCTCAAACATTTTTACGAACTAAGTATAAGTAACATAACAGAATAGAAAAAAATCAAAGTAATTCATACGTGTAGATAAGAACAACACATTTCACTTTTAATAAATTATTTAAATCATTTCCAAATTACAAACCATATTTCTAAAAGTCACCACCAGACGCCTCTACCATCGTAAAACTTAAATTAAGAACTATTTCCAATTTTTTTAATCCTATTTAGCACAAATTATTGAATTTTAAACAATGAGTTACGCCGTATTATATGCGTTAACTTTTCTGCGTAAAATTTGCTCTAGTTTGAGTTAATAAATTGTTGAGTATAAGAATTCAAATTTACCACTTCTAGTTCATCCCTTCCGTTTAACTTATCGGCCAATGGGGACAGAGCAGTTAAAACGTTTCAAAACAACTGAAAGCCGAGAAGCTTTAAACATCAACGAACTTCACATGTGAATTTTTACATTACAGTTTTTCTACAATTTTCTACAAGAAATTTTACAAGTTTTTAAAGAGGTAAGTAGTCCTTAGTTGTTCTTGTGGGTAGTAAATTTCGTGATTAATATTCATACAATTCTAATTCATGATCTAACGATTTTCTAAGCGGCGACATTAACGAACTTTTTGCCTCAAATGTTTTTTATGAGGGTTTTTTCGAAATTATTGGCGATTGCAAGGTATAAAACGATTTGAACGTGGATTAAAACGACATAATTTTGCATGTTTAACACGCATGAAAAGGGTTTGGTTAAAAAAGGCGGTAAAATGTAGATGAGAATTAAAGGGTGTAGTTTTGTTTACATTTCTAAAAAGTTAATTAGAGAGAAAGTAGGAGACAGTTACATAATTAGCGATAAACATTGATTAACGATTCAATAAATAGCAATATTTGGGCATAAAAATGTTGTGAAACTAACATGGTTATGGGGTCATGACGTCTGATTTTTTTCACCAAATTTTTATTTTTTTATTCAAAAGGGACTTCATCATAACATACACAATTAACCTGAGACATTTCTGTTAATTTATAATGAAAGTTGCGAGTGAGGTACGTCATGTGTCTTATTTTTGAAAGCCGCCTTAATAGGGGTCAGTGTTTTCAGAATATTTCAGCGATGGCTCCCTTAAAGCCGTTAAACAGAGCTGTCACAGGCACCACCCGTCTAAACCAAAAAGCCTCAATTTCTACCAGAAGTCGGTCGTCACTATTGACAAATGCACAAATACGACCAAAACGAAAAGCCGACTTTTCTCCCGTCAAAGAAAATGCTAAAAGAACAGCAATGGGTGATATCACCAACAACAAAAAGAATGAAGATAAAAAGAAAACCACTTTGAAACAGCCTGTAAAAAAAACGATCGTTCAAGTCAAAACACTGCCCTCGGTCAGAACCGTGACCAAACCCAAGCAAAATGAGAATGTTCTACCCCCTCTAGCCCCTTGCATTAACGGGGTGGTGACTAGGGCTACAGTGAAAAACGTCACAAGTGGCCAGACGGCAATCAAACCCAAAGAAACGCTCAAAGAGATCTCTAATGTTAGTAGAATCAAGACAAGACTGAGCAATGAGTTTGAAAAGACTGAAGATTCTCTCTATTCGTCAGCATTGGAGGAACTGTAAGTTGAATGAAAGTAGTTTTTTTTTCGTAATGAGGGATGGTTTTAGCAATGATTCGATTAGTTCCAGTGGAGCCAAAGTTAAGGAAGCGAAAACGCCCCCCAGTGATGAGAAATCCCCAAACCTGTCTGTAGTCTCTTTCGTGGCCCAACAGCTCCAAAATAAACTCAATTTGGGTAATCATGAAGTTCCTGAAGGAGTGCCTGATTTTGATAAGGAGAACTGGGACGACATCCATCAAGTGTCCCACTACGCAATGGACATTTTCAATTATATGAAGAGTCGAGAGGTAATTTGTAAAACCAATAGGGAAAATGTTAGGATGTGTTTTTAGTCACTGTTTGATATCACTGACTACATGGACAGACAAGTCTGTCTTACAAGTTGGATGCGGTCGCTTCTAGTCGACTGGATGGTTGAAGTGCAAGAAAGTTTTGAACTGAACCACGAGACGCTTTACTTAGGAGTAAAATTAGTCGATTTTTACTTAAGCCGGATGACTGTCGGCAAAGAAACCTTGCAATTAGTAGGCGCGGCTTCCATGTTCATAGCTAGTAAATACGACGAAAGAATTCCACCAGCCATCAACGACTTTTTGTACATTTGTGATGGGGCCTACACGTGCCGGGAGCTCGTCCGAATGGAAATAAATATTTTGAAAGTCTGTGATTTTAATCTGGGCATTCCAATCAGCTACAGATTTCTCAGGAGATACGCTAGAGTAAGAAGTGCCCAAATTTTACTAAAATTTTGCTCAAAACTTACTTTCAGTGTGCCAAAATCACAATGCCTGTGCTCACCCTCGCAAGATTTATTTTAGAATATTCGTTGATGGACTATGCTACTGTTACTGTACGCGACTCAAAACTGGCCTCAGCGTCACTATATCTAGCACTGAAGATGAAAAAAATTAGTGGGTGGACCACCGCGTTAGAGTTTTATTCAGGTGATTATTTTACTTGGTCCTAAAACCACGAAACTGAAATTGTTGTTTCAGGCTACAAACTTGAAGATTTTGAAGAAGTTGTTATTTTATTAAACGACGGGTTACACAAAAAACCGAAAAGTCCACTAATGACTGTAAGAAATAAGTATTCTCATAAAATATTCTTCGAAGTAGCCAAAATCCCACTTATAAGTAATGAAGAATTGTTCGTTTAGGCCAATTGATTTTTGATACTTTACATGTTTGTGAAGTGATTTTATATCTGTTTATTTTGCATTTTTTAAGTCCCGGGTCTTAACTTAGATGTATTTTATTGTTTTTAAATTATATTAATTTGTATCGTGTGTGGCATTAGATAAATTAATATTTTCCTCAAATTTTATTACGGTACTCTCGTTGATGAAGACATAACGACAACATATTATTTTGTACTTGTTGATTTATGTTGAATAATAAGTAATTTAAGTTACATAAGAACTGAATGCTTACCTACTGATTTTATTACCTAATGTTTGAACTTTAGGCGCCATTTTTACGTAAGAGTTTACATCAGGATAATTACTCGTTCAATTGAATAAAACATCACGATGTTGGCACAAATGTCAGTATGTTTTTTCTCCACCTTGTATTGTCCTTTCATTACTCATAATTTCACAGTTGAGTTTACTAAATTTTTAAAACAATTTTTACCTAGTTTAACAAAAATAAATCCAAACTTTATTAAATTGCAATATTTTAGGGATGTATGAACCAAAACAATGTAAATATTTAATTTTATGGTACAAATATAAATACAGCCCAAAACCTTAACATTGAAAATAATGTCGAATCCAGTTAAAGAGAGATGACCAGAATTAATATTTTACTACATAAATGCTATCTCTAAGTCTTTCTTTGATTACATTGTAAAAATCAGTCGTCATCCTCTGAAAGGTCTTCATCTGTAGTATATTCCGACTCGTGGGCGTCTTCTTTAGCTGATCCCTCCTCTTCTTCTAGATCCTCCCATTGAGGATGTTCTGTGATTTCAGCAGGCGCAGCTTTCACATCTAATTTGATATCTTTTTGTTGATCAAATCCTATATACGAATCTGATCTTAAACATACGGTAAAAGTGTAAACTCCTACCCAATTTGGCGCTGTGAACTGAAACAAAATGTCACAAAACACATTCTTAACTCACAACAACATACTTTTAAGTGTACAACTTCCTGATCTATTAAACTGGTGACATAATGAGGCACTGTTAAGAGCGTCCTTGACTTCCTATCGCAAATATACGTCCACCAATACTCCTGCTTGTCATTAGGGAAGTAAGGACAATGCACTGGATGCGAAGTCTTCGATTTGCCTTGCAACGCCTTCTCTCTCTCGTGTAACTTCTTAAACTTCTCCCACTCCTGGTCATCATCCTCATTCTGCGACTTCTGCACACTGTCATCCTCTGAGGATTTGTCGTTCGTTTCAGCATCGCTCACATCCGATTCTTCACTTTCTTCCTCTTTACTCTTCTCTTCCTTAACTTTCTTTTTATCGGCAGATGGTGATTGTACCGGAGACTCATCCGGTTTGGGCTTATTTCCGGTGATAACTTTCGGTTGTTTGACAGGCTTTTTATTCTTTTTTCCACCGCCCCGTTTTTGCTTTAGCCAAGCTGGACGCTTTATTACTTGAACTTGGGACTGAGAATCTGTATCACCAGCTCCATCTTTATTGGTATCGCCGTCAACGCCGTTTTCGTTGATGAGGTTGTTGTCTTTCACGGTTTCGTCACCAAAGAGGGTGCTCATGGGCTTGCGGGTTAGGGTCACTATGACGGTCACGATGGCCCCAACGGTCACTTCTGTAGGGTTTTCATCATCCATAACTACAACAGAGAAATTAATATTGTATTAAGAATTTTTTTGTTAACAAACCTTCATATTTAACTTGAAAATCAATGTAAGGCATATTTCCCAAGACTTTCATCACATTGTCATACTCCTGCTCGCTGAAATTTCTTAAAATATTTCTCCTCTCGTCCCCTTTTAATTGTGCAAACTGTTGCAAAGACCTAATTGGCTTTTTCTTATTCATAAAATACTTCAAATTGTCTTCGTTAATGTAAGGTAATTGAAGTAAAGGCGATTTAAATTCCCACAAACCTTGGACGATCATTGGGCACAATTTCATACAGTTTTCTATTGTCTCAATAGTAGGTAATCTTTGTACTAAAACAAACAAGTAGAAACAAACACTATAAAAACGTAGTTTTCTCACTTCTGCGATTATATGCCAAAACTATAAGTTGGTTAACACAATTGACCTGTTCTTGAATTAAAGTGGGGCACTTTGCTATTATATAACGTCTGTCTTCTTCTAAAGTATTAGGATTTAGTGGTATGCGGGATAGATGAGCATGGATGATAGCACGAGCCTTAATACTATAAATGTAACACAAAGGCGCCTCCTTATTTTTTTCACCTAGATTTGGCAATTTTTTGATGAGTTGTGGAACCTCTTCATTGTCTAAATCTCGTTCTTTTATTTCCGAATTGTGTTTTTTGTTAAACTCTAAACTAGCGGCTAGGATCATAATTACACGCTTAAGCACCATGTTGGGAGTTTTATGGAAAAAGTAGTAGTACATCTGGGTTGTGTCTAGCAAGACTTGGTCAGTGAATTTTATGCTTCTGTACCACCACGTCCCGACCTAGATAATCAAAATTAAGGTGGGCCACCACACAAAAAATTAAACATACCACTATAGGAAGCGCTACCATGAAGACAAGCCCATACAGCCCTAACACCCACACACTATTCTCTTTCTCTACAATCCAGGATGGAAGAGCTATGCCAAAACTCATAGCGCCAGGACCATCAGGATTTCCGTATTTTTCCCAATTTTTCCGAGCCTCGTCGTCTGTTAACGCTTGGTAGGCTTTTGATAATTTCATGAATTCCTTTTCATTGCCGGTGTCTTTGTCGGGATGAAGAATGAGAGAGAGTCTCCTGTAGGCTTTCTTAATCTCAGCTTGACTCGCCCCAAGGGGGATTCCTAATATTTCATAAGGGTCAAAGTTTGCCATTTCATAATCAAATTGAGACACTTTGTACGCTAATAATAAGAGTAGCAGCCATCCAATTATTATCACAAGTTTTATTAAAAAATTTTTGGGACCCTTCCAAGGATCTGCATTCCTTTGGAACTCCCTTTTTTTGATACACGGGGGGCAGTGGCATTTTTTACTCTCTTCCTCGGGATCTGCAACAAATTTGTTTTAGAAAATTTAAATATGGTCACGGACTTGTAGTAAAGATTAAAGGAGCCACTTTTGGTAACATAAATTAAATACTGTTCTAACCTCTCTTTTTTTCTCTCGGCCAGTAGTATATCGTCGCTGGGATTAAGATTAAGGCTAAAAATGATAATAAGAAGTAAAAAAACGTCGAACCACTTTCATCATATTGAAATTTTTGCCCCATTTCTTCTTATTTACTAAAAATTAGACGACGTGTAATGTTTTTGACAATTCGGTTCGAAACCTACTTCAAATTGTTGCGCATGTGGCATTGCGAGAACCAAGCGTGTTTACAGTTATGTGGAGGAGGCCTTCCACCTCCAATTAACTTTTCATGATTATAGGACAATTATCGAGTATGATGACAAAATATATCAGAAGTTTCCATAAAATGAACATTTAATTTGATTAGTTACCACTGGTAGATCATTTGTCTGGAAACAGGGTCGCATTTGAACAATTTTTATAGGGCACGTTATTTTTTTATAAAGGATTTTTTGAAAAGATCTAAAAGAGGTCACATACTTACAACAAATATTGTAACAAATAACGGCTTGTTTAGTAGTACTTTTTAAAATTATTATTCCTCACATGTAAATATAATTTAAAAATACACACGTGTTATTATGCTATTAACTGGAGCCCCATTTTGGAATCTTTAATGCCAATTTTATATGTTATTAGCGATTATCTATGATGCCATTGTTAAAAGTTACAAGCCATATCGAAAGTATAAGTATTAAGTAATAAAGTATTGTGTCCACTGATAATGTTCGAAATCAATACACATAAAATGACCAACTTTCTATTGATTATGTGAAAATAGAAAAAGAACTGTTTATAGTACACAAATAAATTAAAATAACAAATAAATTAAAATAATTCTAATTAAATTATATCAATCAGTGAAGTATTTTCTTTTTTCGTTAGAAGTTAAATTTGTAACTTACTTTTACTTTGAAATGGACCACAAGGAGCACTTTGTTTACAGATGGTATAAACATCTTAACAATTCCTTATAAAAAGAGAAAGTTATCGGGAGGGTAAAATATTTTTTTATTTTTAAATTTAGCGCTTAACTGAGAAAACTGTAATACCAACAATTTTCCCTTTTACCGACCGAAAAAGTGCTACTTCCTTTTATATGGCGGACGTTGTGTTCGCTTGATGTGTGAGACTAGTGAAAAATAGAATTAAGTTTTACAGAAAATGGTAACTATTTTCCTTCTTTTTAAGTAAATATCTTCTAAATTATTAATTTCCGAACATGATATTGTGTTTGTACTCCATAAAAATGCGTACTTGACTCAATTTTTGTATAAATATGACATGACCACGTGTCTTAACATTTCTGAGTTTGTTTCTTTTTATCACAAACAAGACAAAGCCTTTGTTTTTTTAAACATAATGATGATTTAACGCTTTTGGTCCGTGTTTCTGATAACCATTGATTATATTCTCAAAAGCTCTGACCCCCATCCCCTCCCAGATCCAGATATCCCATTTACCCGAACTTCTCACTTAGCAATGGCTTATTTTCAGTCGTTGGCCGCCGCGCGCCCCTTAGTGAGCGTGTACAATGAGAAGTCCGAAGAAGTCAAGGGAGAGACCGTGGTCTTGCCGGCCGTTTTCAAGGCCCCCATCAGGCCCGATGTCGTCAACTTCGTCCATCAACAGCTCTCGATGAACCATCGCCAAGCTTACTGCGTTAGTGACAAAGCAGGTCATCAAACTTCGGCTGAGTCTTGGGGTACTGGACGTGCCGTGGCTCGTATTCCTCGTGTCCGCGGTGGTGGTACCCACCGTTCCGGCCAGGGTGCTTTCGGCAACATGTGTCGCGGGGGGCGCATGTTTGCACCGACTAAACCATGGCGTCGCTGGCACAGACGCGTCAATGTTAACCAACGTCGATATGCTTTGGCTTCAGCTGTTGCTGCCAGTGGGGTACCGGCTTTGGTCATGAGCAAGGGACATGTTATCGATCAGGTGCCCGAGTTGCCTCTGGTTGTCTCCGATAAGGTCCAAGAATTGAACAAGACCAAGCAAGCCGTGCAGTTTTTGAGACGCATCAAGGCGTGGGCTGACATCCAAAAGGTCATTATTATTATATTTAAATATTTAAAACCAAAAATTATGATGACTTTGCGTTTGGTCCTAGCGTGCTGACAACTCTGATTATAGTCGCACAATGCTGATATATTAGTAATAAATGCAATCATATTTTATATTGTGCCACAGATTGATTTTTCATTTTTTGTCATTTAGGTTTACAAGAGCCAACGCTTTCGCGCTGGTAAGGGTAAAATGCGTAACAGGCGACGCATCCAACGTCGAGGTCCTTTGATTGTTTACCACAAGGATCAAGGATTACGCCGCGCGTTCCGTAACATCCCCGGGATTGATTTAATCAGCGTTGAAAAACTAAACCTTTTGAAATTGGCTCCTGGTGGTCATGTTGGCCGCTTCGTCATTTGGACCGAATCTGCTTTCCAGAGATTGGACAAACTTTTTGGAAGTTGGAAAACTGCATCTGCTGAAAAGAAGGGATATAATTTGCCTCAACCCAAAATGGCCAATACTGATCTGGCACGTTTGTTGAAGGCTGATGAGATCAAGAAAGTTTTGCGTGTGCCACAGTATGTTTTTGTTAATTTTATTGTTATTTTTGTATATATGATGAAAATCTTTTGAGCACTGGGTTATGATAATCCGTGATTACCTGTTGACACCTGATTCAATTATTTATTATTAATTTCTGTTTGTTATAATTCATTTTATTCTAATCTTGTTTTTCATTGTCTTATAGGAAGAAGGTTGTTCGTCGTGTCCGCCGTTTCAACCCATTGGCTAACACTAGGGCTATGTTGCGTCTCAACCCGTACGCTGCGGTATTGAAACGCGAAGCAATTTTGTCATCTCAGAAGCGCCAAGCTAGTAGGGATGAAATTTTGGCCAAGAAGAGGAAAGTGAGTATTAAAAATAATTTGAATATTTCACTTTTTATTCTATGATGATTTGCTTTTGGTCCGTGTTTATGAATAACAATGATTTTATTATTCAAAAGCTCTGATTTTATTTGGAGTGTTTCATGTTTTATACGTTTTATTACTTGTCTTTAATTAATTTGTTTTCTTTCTCAGATAACTCTTCCGGATACGTCACGTGTGGTCAGATCCGCCAAATTACAAGCTAGAAGGAGGCAAGCCATTTTAAAGGCTAAATCTAGCAAAACCAAGAAGGTCAAGAAAACTTCTAAAAAATAAGGAGATTAGGATAGTTCTTATATAATTTTATATTGGGACTACCATAATCTTGGTTTATTTGTAATTAAAAATAAAAAAGTTGCGGAATTACATATTGTTTTATTTTCCTCTTTCAAAAAAAAGTAAAAAAAAATACTGACGTTATTAAAGTATTTGGTACATTATTTACACAATAAAAAGAACTTGTTGACTTAAAATATGGAATTTATTAGACAGTTATCTTTTGAGTCGGAACATTAATAGTTTCAAATGTTCTTTGCCTTGTTATGATACAACTAATAAAATTTTAATACTGATTGATCATTAGTAAATAATCCAAATCTGCTGTTTTGTTGGTTCATTACTATAGTATATTTACAAGGTTTTTTCGTAATTATGTCTAAATATATATGAGACATCAATTTTCTTACTTGTAATCCCAATATATTCAAAAATTAAAATGTATTACTCTTATAGGTTTAAAAATTGTTTGAGTCGTGTCATATTTTATACAATATGACATTTATATGCTCACAAGTATATTGTCAATTTATATTTTACTTTGAGTAAACAAATAAATAAAAGTTTTTATGTTTATAATTTGGGCTTCTCTGTTACAACTTTAACTAATTTAAACATTTGACGTAAGACATGGTTTGATAAATATGTAATGAGCGTGAAGTAAATAATTATAATTCTCTGAAATGTTTTAACATTTGGATTACCGGAAGGTGTCTGTCTGTTTTTAAGGAGACTTGTAGTCGCTACGCATTTACTAGAAATAATAACACAATTTATTAATTTTTTGTAAAAATAAATTATTCAAATAAACATGGCAGGTATATTTAATTTAATACCTTTCAATGCTATATTTCAATCTGATTTTTACGTAAAATACTCATCTTGAAATTACCTACATACATTTAGCTTTGTTATCGTTAATCATAAAATTCTTAACTTGGTAGGTAATATTAGTGATTTAATTTATGCAATTTACCTTAGACTTATGATATAAATCATTTTCCACATAAGAGCATGACAAATTATTGCAATGAAATGCATACAGTATATATTAAACTATTGTGAACATTAATTCATTACTCATGGTATCATTGAACTTTTTTATTATAAAATAAAATTCTGCAAACGTATGAAATATTTTATTTATAATTTTTTTGCCAATAAATTACAAAAAGTGATTTTAATTTATTAGTCTGTAAGCTCAGTTGATGCCTCGTCCGTTTCATCACTCTGAAATACATTTTCTATCTCAGATAACAATTCATCAGATATTTCAAATTTATATTGCGGTTCGATAATAATAGGATTCCTGGCGGTTCTTGGTCGCTTCATCGCAATTCTGTTTTTATTAATTCTTTGAAGAATCTCAAATTCGTCCGCTGAATTTAACTTGCACATTCTTACATCTAAGTTTTTTAAAGTCGTATTGTATCTCAAGCCTTTCAGAATAACTTTACCCATTTCCTAAAACAAAAAAATTCGGAACAATTATTTTTTATACGTAGATACTAGTTTCAGTTTTAATTAGTGTTATTATTTATTAGATAATTAAAATATGTTATTTGATTAATGATTAGTGTAATAAGAAAATCCCACTTGGAAAGGCCGATTTTACTCTGACAGAATGGATCGCATCCGCTTCACTTAAAATGAAACAAAAAAATACCTCTCCTAAAGAGTTATTACTCAAATCCAAATGCTCCAAATGCGAATTGTGTTCAATCATTTCGCCTAAAGTCGAAATATGGCCCACTCCACATGCGTTTAAATGCAATGTTTTTATTTTCCGTGCACTTATCGTCAAAGGTTTCATTAAAATTGCGACGCCTCTCTGACTAATTGGATTTAATTTTAAATTAAGACTTTTTAAATTGCAAGCAGAGCTACAAATCACGTAAGATAAGGATTCAATTCCTTTGGCTCCTGTTAAAAATCAAAATATTTTCAAACAAAATAAATTGTAGAAATTATTTACCAATACGATTGTTTGTTAAAATTAAATTACTAACAGAATTTTCTAAACAAAATTTACTTATAGCCACTGCACCGTAGTCTCGGATTCGGCAGTGTGAAAAATCCAGTGTTTCTAATTCATGTTTTAAAAGAGATTTTAAAATTATTACGGCTTTTTCGTCATCAATATCAGAATTTTTTAATCTAAAAGAAAAAAAATATTTTTTGTTATATCAACATTTAATTACCTGAAACATCTTAATTTACACTTTTCCAGTCCTTTCGCTAACAATCTGATGTCTTTTGACGAAACTCTAACTGTGTCCCAGGTGAATTTTTCTCCAACATAGGTCTATTATAGGTACATGTAATAATAATTAAGCAAAATTAAGGTAAATGAACTGTGCTATTTTTAAAATGTAGATATCCGTCATACAAATGTATTCGTATAAATTATTGATAGTTAAAAAATTTAACATTTACATTAATTTAATTGTATTTACTTTGGTTTGCGTCAACCATATTTAAAATACAAAATAATAATTGAAGTAAATGGATTTATGACAGACGTTACATGTGTTCTAAAAATAATAATATTTAAATATCGGGAATTTTATTTCCATTTCTCAATCTTCTTTCATCAACTTCATTCTTTACCTGTTTAAAGCAAATTGACAGTTCAGTTAGATTTTCCAACCCTGATGTTATTGCATTTAGAGGAATCCGGTTCGGGGAATTTTCTGAACATTGCAATTCCCGTATGTTTAAAATTTTAACGTAATCAGTACACAAGTCGGCCAATTCTTTGATCTAAAAATTTTAATTAATCAATTGCAATATCACGTAAATAATACACTTTTTCAGCATCATAATCTTCAGGTTTGAGTTTCTCTAAATATTCACAAATATGTGTTTCAAGAAAACATTCTTTCCAAGTTCTCTTAAAATGCTCAGTTGTGCTTGATTTTCGCGATCTTTCACTCTCTTCGCTACTTTTTCTGCTGTTGCTCACTTTTACAATTTCGTTTATTTGGACGTCTAGTGAAACATTTTCAGGAATTGATTTTGGCCACTTTTGCAAATAACATCGTTTCCAGTAAACATCACCATCGATCTTTGGCACTGTTAGTGTCAGGGGGAGATCGGTTGGTAAAATGTTTAGCAGAAGGCAGCGATCGATTGTTACAACTATTTCTTCCAAAATTGGTTTTTCTAAGAAATTTAAGTTAAAATAAAACAAATTGTGAATGGTAAATATATACCTTCCCAATTTTTTGCGATGGCTTCCAGGCAAAGTTCTTGCAAACTCTTAGGTAGGGTTCGATCCCAGTTTGACAGATTATCACTCCGCAAAGTATTTTTCGCGATGTTGCTTTCATTGTAACAATTATAAGTTTTTAAAGTATTTGGATTAATAGTGACCGGAATACGCATTGTTTGATCAATAGATCAAACATTCCCTTTTGTTACGGGAAACACAAACGACCTTATTTCTCACAATTTCTTCACTGACGCCAACCATTTCAACTAATTACAGTTTCAATGTAAATAAACTAAAATATCCAAGATCCGTGATTATAATTTATTCAACTGACTTGTTTCTCAAAAGTGTCCAAATAAAAAATGACTTGTGTTTTAGTCACCACGTGATACGGATTAGATTGACTTGGATTTATTATCCTTCAAATGAAATTTATTCTCATTGTTTAGTAAATTATTAATTTGTTGACCTAACACGGAATTTCCCGATGACTAATGTGATAATTAAAATCAGAATGCTGTTGATTGAACCACCCGTTACCAAATAAAGCAAAAAGACAAAAGGTCATAGAAATATTTTAAAATTTTTAAATACGAGTTGAGTTAAGAGCAATTCTAATTATACAACGTTGTTTTTCTACTTCTTTGCTACTTCCTGTTACAAATGTTCATCACTTCGTGACCAATTATTTTGCAGATTGACTCCTATTGTTTGAGGTTTCTCGAGCTACCTACATTTTAAGATATTTTACATTATTCATGAAATTGACTGACAAACCACATCGTTAACCTTTACCTCAATACATTTAGTTTTTCTGAAAAAGATGTATTTTTGGGAATTTAAGTCATTATCACCATTTTTCTTCACAAATCTTCACAATAATTATTTTTAAATAGTGATTTGGAAAATTTAACAATTTGTCATGAGTTATTACATAATCCAGTATAATACTGTAAACAAGTTGTTAGAAAACCATCCAATTAATCAAAAGAATGTCATTTTGGGAAAATCTGATGATAACTAAGTACATAATTTTAACCAACTTAAGATGGGCGTGTTAGTCATTGATGTTTAGGCCTCCATTTAATAAGTGTAAATTTATGGAAAGAAGTTGATTAAATATGAATTTTATCTTTCGTGTTTATAAATCTAACTTGGCAAATTAGCAGATACTTTTTAAGAAAAAAGTTAAAAGTTTTTAAACTTTTTTGATTTGGTGTTTGTCTGGTAAAATAATACTTTCTCCAATGCTAATAAAATGTGTAAGGACGAAATTAATGCTTATTTTGATACTATAGACTTCATTATGTTCTTCCATTCGTGACAAAGAGGTGTAATACCGGTTGATTCGTCTACAGAAAAAAGGATGTTGGAGTTTCCATCACTGCGATCATTAGAATATACACGATTTCGTGCCTAGTTTTGTCTAATATGGTAATAACACGAGTTTAAAATACATTAATTAAAATATTGGTAATTAATAAATAACAAGAGTCGTAAATTGTTAAGTGTAGACACATCCTATTGTAATTCTCCACCACGATTCACTTAATAAATCTTTTGATCATCTTATTACTATTGTGACACTTGGCTTCTACTGCAAAGCTATTTTCGTAACCAAATGTCATATTTATGTTATTGACCAATTTGGAATTACAGGAAGGTTAAGGTGTGGGCTTCTTAGTATTGTCACCTTGTCGCAATTCAAAGATTCTACAATAATTTTACTTATGATCGAATCATTTCACTGTTGAAGAAGTTTCAATCGCCAAGGTTATTAAACCTAATTTTACTGTTAAATGCAATATTTTTTGCGCGAAGACGCTGATGGAAATCTCAAATTAATTTGAACTTTACAATACGGAGAAAAACCGACTAAAATGTAGTCACATCAGCAGTGTATTTGATGGTACGCGGAGATGATTTGCTGGAACGATTTTTTTGTCATCACGGATTATACTCTCGCACTTTTTACCTACACAAACTCGTTATTATATAAATAGAAGCTGAACGTCTTTAAGATCGTAGTCATCGAGAACCTGTAGATCTGTTTCGTTGTCGACTACGCCGCTGTTGACCATGAAACATAATTTTTATTTATTGTTGTTCTTAGCTTTTGTGTCAGTTGAACTGTGTAAGTGCATCTGTGCAAATTTGCATGTGAATAAGTCGTTTATTTTGCTTAATTGCAGCTCAACAACATGGAGTTAAAGGAGGCAGTTTCAGTGGCAGTTTTAGTAAGAATTTTTTTATTTTGGAAATAACACATTTTTGAAAATATTTTTATAGGCACTTCATCGGCAGCATCACAATCATCATGTAAGTTTAGTACTTGAAATTCAAAAATTATAAATGTAATTGTGTCTTTTAGCTTTTAGCAGTTCAAGTTCAGGTTCATTTTCTGGTACCGGTTCTTTGAACGAAATTGGTGCTGGTTTGAAGGATTTGGTTGGAAATTTAGCCCACGCAGGTGCTGCGTCAGGTTCTGTGGGTGGTGGAGTCGGTTTTACGGGTTCCAAAGCAACTTCTGGAGTTTCCGGTGGCTCTACCGGCGGTTTAAGTGGTGGTGGAGGTGCTGTTAGCGGAAGTGGAAGTTTCGCGGGAAGTTTTGGGGGCTCAACTGGTACCTACTGATTGACGTCTTTTATAGGAAATTTTTTATCTTAAATTTTTTTTTAGGAGGAAGTTCTTGTGGACTGACAAATAAGAACTGTGGTTCCGGTTCCGGTTCCGGACAGAATGTTTTGAGTGGAAGTACTGGAGGTTCCGGTGGAAGTGGTCTTGGAGTTGGTGGCGGCGTGGGAGTTGGGCCTAACGTTGACGTTGGAAGTGCTGGCCCTGGAAGTCCTGGTGGAGTTACTTGTGCTTTAGGAGATAATAAATGTTCAAGTTCAAGTGGTACTACCACTGGTAAGTTTGTGTTTACGGGGTAAACAAAATTAACTATTTATTCTATTTTTGATATACAGGTGAAGTTAGTACTGTAACATCTAGTGCTTCTGGCACAACAGGTGGAGAAGTTTTGAAAGGACTTTCCGGTAAAGATGAAGGGCCTAATAGATCTGTTCCTGAAAGTACTGGTGATAATAATGCCATAAGTGGTTCTACTGGACTTACTGGGAGTTTTGGAGGAAATTCAAATGCTCAACTTTTACCATTAAATCCATCTAATGGTAAGTATTGAGTTTTAACATCCCTAAATAACAAAACATGTATTTTTAGGAGGAAGTACTTTTGGCCAGTCAGGCAGTTACGGCGGAACTACCAGTACTAGTTCTTCCGGAAATTACAACAAGCCAAGTGGAGGGTACGTCCCCATTCCTACATATCCTGCTCAACCGTCGGTACCTTCAGGTGGATATGGTCCTGGTTCTAGTTTTGTAAAACCGTCAACACCAACGTATTATCCTGTCAAACCTTGCGGAAGTTATGGAGGGACTGGATGCGGGACATCGGGATCTTTTGGAGGAACTGGAAGTTTTGGAACACCTGGATCTGCTTCTTATCCTGTAACAACTGGAACTGGAAGTTATAAAAAACCTTGTTGTAAAGGGCCATTTCCTGGACCTAATGGAAGTATTCACCAGAGTAAACCTGCTAATTCTGTACCTCCAGTACCTGGCGTTGGGGGTTCATATCCAAGTTCTGGAGTAACAGGAGGTGCTGGATTTGGTGGAAGTATTAGTAATATAAAACCAACATTTCCTGGACCTAGTGGAAGCATTCATGAAAGTAAACCAGCACATTTCGTTCCTCCAATTCCTGTACACCATGGAGGTGCTCCTAACTATCCTACAGGTTCGCACGTAACTGGGGGCAACTATCCAACAGGATCACACGTAACTGGGGGCAACTATCCAACAGGATCCCACGTAACTGGTGGTGGTTATGGTACAGGAACTCATCAAGTAACTGGAAATTATAATGGTCATGTTCCTACACCAAGTCATCCTGGTGGATCTAAAGGAACATGTTGCAAGGGACCTTTTCCAGGACCTAATGGAAGTATCCATCAAAGTATTCCAGTATCCTCCGTTCCTTCAGTTGGTACTACTGGAAGCCAGTATACAGGATCTTTGCCTGCATCTGTTGGAAGCATTTCCGCTAATATTCCCTCAACTTCTATTACTTCTACAATAAATACCGGATCTCAAGCAACTACTCAATCCGGAATTTCTGGTTGGAGCAAAGATTATGCTACAGGTAATGGATATACACACTATTACACTATACCAAAACCTTCTGTACATCTACACCCACCAGTCAGTGGAACAGTTTACACAAAACAAGTTACTGGTCATGGCTACCAACCGTTAAATCCCGATTTCATCTTCGTAGGAAAAACAAATTTAGAAACTTCTGGATCTCCAGCTGCTACAGAAGGGTCAGGCTTTGCAACGGGAAGCATTTCTATTCAAAAACCTGATGGAGCTTTAAAAATACCAAAAATTGAGTCCGAAAAAGACAAAATATCTGGAACGCCTAGTTCTGGTTCTGGAATTGCGACTGGTAGCGTATTTGTGCAAAAACCTGATGAAACTCAAAATACAGGAGACGATAAACCTTCTGGATCGTTTGGTGTTTCCGGAACGTCAACAAGTGTATCATCTTCTGATGCCAGTTTTACAAGCCCACCTGTTGTAACTGAAAAACCTGAAACAAGTTCTTCTGGTAGTTATGGTTCTTCTATTTCCGGTACTGGAAGTAAATCTGCTAGTGGTTTTGCAACTGGAAATGTTGAAATAACAAAATCTGATGGGACGATTACCGGAGGGAAAGATTTACCTAGTGGCAGCACAGACGCAAAACCTTCAACAGGTTTAGGTTATGGAAGTGACAAGTCAAGTTCTGGAAGCAATGGTTTTGCTACCGGAAATGTTCAAGTTTTTAAACACGATGGTTCAGTTACTGGGGATATTATCGGAACAAAACCTGCAGTTGGTGGTTCCGGATTAGGTTTCTCTGGAAGTTATGGAGGCTCAATATCTGGTTCTGGAAGCAAATCTGATGGTGGTTTTGCAACTGGAAATGTTGAAGTTTTTAAACCCGATGGTACTGTCACTGGAGGAAATGATTTACTTGGAGTAACAAAGCCTGTGGCGAGTGATTCTGGTACTTACAGCACAAACTCCGGAGTCGATAGTTTTGCAACGGGTAATGTCCAAATTTTGAAACCTGATGGAACAATAAACGGAGGAAAAAATGTACCTGCTGGCAGCACCGAAATAAAACCTGCAATAAGTGGTTCAAGTTCTTACGGAAGTGCGAACACCGGAGCTAACGGTTTTGCCACCGGTGATGTTCAAATTTTTAAACCCGACGGTACGATTACTGGAGGGAAAGATATATCTTCCGGTGGTAGCTCTGGTGGTTCTTACGCAGGAAGTGACTCTTTTGGGTCATCTGGAAATTGCGGTTCTGGAATTTGCTACGGAAGTGTTAAGAGTCCAGTTGAGGGATCAGCCGGAAGTGGGAACTTTGGTGGCGTTGCAGGATCACATAGCGGTGCTGGAGCTTTTGCAGCATCAGGTTCTTTCGGTGGCGTGAAAGGAGGAAGTTATAGTACAGGAACAGGTTTTTCAGGATTGCTAGGAAATTTGTTTGGGAAACATGGTTTAGGTGGGAATCTAGGTGTGTCAGGATCGGGGTCTTTTGCCAAATCCCATTCATTTGCAGGAAGTTCAAGTAAGTTATCAGTTTTAATTTTTATTCTAAAATGCCTAAAATGTGTTTTTAGGTTTTGCAGGCGCTAGCTCTGGCTCATATGCAGGACATTATTAATAATAACTCCTATTTAATTTTATTTTTTATCTGTGAATATTATTTTTATAAGTAACTTTATATTGTATGTGATTTTTTTAATAAACATAATAATTTTTAATTCCTGTTTTTCCTTTGACCTTATTTTCTTATACAGGGTGCGCCAGAACTCGCGCCCCAGAGAAAATTTTCAAGTAAGGTAAGATACCAGGAACATGAAAAAAATGTTTAAAAAATTCTATCTGTCAAAAAATTTTGACATTTATTTTTTGACATTTGACATTTTTTTATATCTATTTAAGGATACTAATGATTTTGTATATGTTTTTTTACAATTATTTAGTAAAGGGACAAAAATTTTGCTACTAAAAAACGCAAATGACATTGAACAGAGTTACAATTTAGGATACAGCTTCCTTGTTTCCTCTTATGGAAAATTATTTTTCCAACAGAAATAAATAGTCAAAGTGCAAACTTTAAACCCTTATAACTTCGAAATTTTTATAGATAATTTTTTTTAACATTTTTTCCATGTTCCTGGTATCTTACCTTATATGGCATTTTTCTCTGGGGCGCGAGTTCTAGCGCAGCCCTGTATGTATGTTGCAATCAGTTAAAACTTAAACCAATTATTACAACACACACACAAACTAGTATTTCAAAATTATAAGGAGATTGCAGATGCATTTAATTAACTCTGTAACACCAATAAGAATTTTTTTTGACTTTTTTGGACAAAACTTAAAAAATAATAGTTTGTTAATAAATACAATAATTTGGAAATATAGCTTTTGTTAATATTGTTAATAACTACATACCACAATAATTACAGGAGCTTTAAGAGTGTGTAATAATATCACATACTCGTAGTTAGAAACTAATTACGAGGGAAAAGACAAGTAAGTATATCAGTATGAGAAAAAATGTGTCACTTCTTTAAAAACACTTAACTTGATCTTGTAGAAGCACTTCAACATTTAAAAATTTTAAAAGTATTACAAGACCTTCACATTATTTAGTTATAGTTGCCCTTCATTTTTAAATGGGTACAAATTACAAACCTACGCATTTTCGATTTTATGAGTATACACATTTAAAAAATACTTACCTTTTTATAAATGTGCAAAACGACAATGCGAGAATATGCCGTTTCTTAGTGTAAATCGAATATTGTGCCCTTAACAAAAAATGGCTAACTTAGCCCCTAATTTTGATGTGTGAAGTTATGTTAGTAGAAAAATTGCTTTTAAAGAATTTAAACAGGAATTTAATAAGAAGTATTTAATTTTTACTAGACTTAAAACTATTTTAATTTTTTTTTATGTTGGTAATGAAATCTATTTCTATCACACTTTAAAAAAATAATTTTTGTTGAAGTAAGCTGTAAATATATAACTCAAATTCTTTAAGATGAAACATAAAATAGATGTCTACTGCCATTATCAACAAAAAATTGATTAAAAAGTGCACAAAAACCTTGTTGGTTGTTTTTGTAAGTACATATACAATTTTGCAAGGCAATGTAACACTATAAGTTATACAAGGCAAAATATTTAAAAAAAATTGTGGGATAAGTGTTGTTTAAGGTCTTTTTCATCAAAAAATGAAAGGCACATCAAAAGATGCGAATACTAATTTACATTATTTACTACACCTACCTTAATTTAATCAATGGTTCATTGCTATACCCAGTCCATTAAAAAATTAAAAATTGTTACTTGTATTGTCAACACTATTGACCTTCTTGCAAAACTAACTTCAAAAATAGGGAAAAGTTTTAGATCCTAATTAACGTCTTCCTTAAAACTACCATAAAAATTACAAAAGTTATTATATCTTTTGAGTATCTATTTCACTTTTATTATCAAGAGTCCGGAAGTAACTTTCATGCAATATTTGATGTAATAATTTTTTTCTTAAGTGGGCATCAAAAACAAACAAAATTGCAATAGAATATTGTTATTTGTTTGTGCAAATAGAGGGGCCAAAGTGTGAAAATCAATTAAAAGTTGAAAGAGGGGACTAACTCTTCTACTATATAAATTCCATCTGTAGAGGGTTCTAGTCAGTCACCTTTTGATAACTAATCATGAAGGTAAAAAAATAATACAAATTTAATAATACAAATTGTTAATATATATTTTTAATTTTTTAGGTGTTCGTTTGCGCTTTAGTGGTCTGCGTCGCTGCTAACATTGTCCAAGGTATATTTATTAATAAACAGATAACTTTTTTTTTGTAACACGTGTTTATTAGATTTTGTTTTGAGATAGGTATTAATTTAACAATTAACACCTTTTCTTGTCAATCAATGTAGTGAAAGTTTACAAGTTAGTGCAAATGACACTAAGCAATAATGTAAGCCGGCTTAATTTAATATGAATTTGTATATACAGGTGGTCATCTTGGAGGCGGCGGCGGCGGAGGTGGAGGTGGTTGGCAGTCTGGCGGTGGCGGCGGCGGCTGGCAATCTGGTGYAGGCGGTGGTGGTGGTTGGAAGCCACTTGGAGGCGGAGGAGGAGGCGGCGGTGGC